TGCTGCTTCCTCTTACTTACATCTGTGTGAAAGAGCTTTCATACATGCTTTCTGTCTGCACAAACGCCACAGTCATCAGCTGCTGTGCCTGCTTCTAGCCAGTGAAATGGCTTCCATTAAAACAGAAAATCCCTTCATTTCACCATTGTCTTGCCAGAAAAATGTTGTTTTGAAAATCAGCCTCTGTGTGTAGAAGCTGTATGCTGAGTTGAAAAATGTTGCTGCATCTTTGAATTGTTAATTTTTTTTTGGTAACTTTGATACACAGGTGAAATGTTTGTTTCTTTCTGCTAATCTTGTATTCCTTCCCCTCCTCCCTCTGACCTGATCCTAGAGCTGTCCTATCAGATACGGAGAGACCAAGAGGATGTTTGGTCACTAAAACAGCTCAGTTCATGCTCTTCTACCAAATTCTGCTTCTCGTACTAACCTGTCCCCTGTTTCTCCACCCTTGCTGCCACCTGCAAAGCCTGTGACTGTGATTAATGAAGCGGCTGAGGCTGGTGTAGATATAGATGAGGAGGATGATGCAGATGTTGAATTCAGTCTCCCCTCTGACATTGAAGATGATTACGAGCCTGAGCTGCTGTTAATGCCAACCAATCAGCCTGTTAACCAGCCCATTCTGGCTGCTGCTCAGTCTCTGCATCGGGAAGCAACCAAGTGGTCTAGTAAGGTACTCCTGAGTCTCCCCCGGGGACTGATCTGTGTGCATCCAGCCATTTGGAACGCTGACACATTTGCATCACTCTTGATCCCTGCTGGGTCCCGTCATTCTGAATGAAAACATTTGCCTGCACTTCATCTTGAGGACTGAGAGTGGCTTCACAAGTTTGCTAGATCTGTCTGTCAGTGCCAGACTGAAGCTTGATTTGGGTCACTTATTAATATTACAAGGCTTCTTCTCTCTTTGCATCTGCCTGTCCTTCTTTGTTACAACAGTTCTCAAATTGTAAGCAGTTCTTATCTTTCCTCCCTCCTTTTCTTTCTACATTAATTTGGGCTACCTAGGAAGCCATCGCTCATGGTTTCTTAATGACTTCCGGATGCAGCAGTGTACACAGCGTTCAAGAAGTCATTTCACGTGTCTGTGCTTGGCCTCCATTGGTGCCTTCAATTAAAATACCTTCGAACAAGGAATGGCTTTGTATGGCAGTGGTTACTGAAGAGGACTGACTGTCTGCTGGCTTGCACTTGGCTGTATTGCAAATGCTGCTTTTGAGAGAATTCTTTTATGAAGGAGCTGCACTGAATGCTGTTATCTGCTGAATTGAGATTGTTTGTATGAGACCAATGGACGTCTAACACGGGGTTCAGACATTCACAAGTAGCCTGTTTCTTCTGTCTGAGCACAAATGGTTGCAAGACTTGTCACTTTTAATAGCATGCCACGAAAAGAAAGGTTGGTGTTCCATAACAAAGGTTAGGGGTGTGTGTGTGTATGTATATATAGATATACAAATCTATTTTTAATAAAAAGGGCTTTAAAATGTTCTTGTCCTTTTCAGATTCTGATGCTTGGATAACTTGTTAGAGAGCTTCGTAAATGACATTGGTCCTAATTTCTTGATCCTCCTGCGTGAAAACATGGAAAAGCTTTGTGTTGTGTCACTTGCATCCTAGCTGGTTATACTAGCAAACACGTTAGATATTAGGTCACGGTAACAAATAGTTCAGCTTTGTGTGCCACCCGTATCTGTGCCACATTTAATGACGTGTTTCAGTATCTTCTTCAGTTGACGAGTAGTGAGTCATGGAAGTGTGTGCAAAGGACAGAGAAAACAGTTGGGTTCTCACTGTGTACTTCTTGCTGTGGTCTTTATTGGTCATTCATTGTGTAACTGCACTGAAGAATGTGTGTGCTAATACTTAAAATCACTCTGCTAATGTTTCATCCACACAGTAGGAATGCATCGTGGCACTCTGTTTCACGTTTGTCTAACAGCTTCTCAGGAAGGTGAATCTAAATGTACTAACAGACTATTAACAACCCATAACTCTGGACTGTTTTTTTTTTTTCTTGCATAGGTTTCTCTCTGGAACAGAGTATAAGAAACATTTTTGCTTTGTTTTTTTTTCTTCTTGGTATTTAATTCCCACATTGCAAATATTAAAAATATTTTTGTGACTTATCTTGATATAATTAACACAAGAAATCTGATTTGTAGTAATACCAGATCATTTTTTAAACTACAAGTTATTCTCTCCTAGAAGCTATATTTTGAAGGGAGAGAATTAATAAAAAAGCAATAACTGTTTTCAAGAAATAACTTGGAAAAACCGAGCAATAATATTGCTTCTCATTTCCACGCTACCTGTGGCAAACCTTTGTTACAGATTGTCTTCCTCTTCCTTGTTCCACTTACATAGCAAGGTAGCAGCACAGATATACTTGAACAACTTCAGTTTTAGATGCCAGTGAAAACATGATGCTCAACTGCGTAACCAAATCAGTGCTATTTGGTTTAATGAGGTGCTCAGCACACTTAGGAAACAACTACCTTACTCCCCTATTGAGAGATCTGGAATTTCAAACGCTAATAGCACGCTTTATCTTAAAACATAACCAGCAGAGCAGAAGCTCCTATTCGTGGACAAACTAACGCTTTATCACTGCCATTTTTTCCAGTTTTGAAGCAAACTTTTTTCCCTGAGTCTTAGGAAGAGAAGTATGCCATAGGCAGATAACCAGGGCAGATCTTCCCTGTTCCTTGAAGAAACCTCTTCTGTGTTCACAATGGTTTTTCCGTCCTTGACTTCCTGAAAGGGTTGCTACCAGAACGTAGGCTGCTCAGTTGTGACTTCTGGAAGCTGCCTTCCCGACACAAACACTGACCCCTGCTGTTCTCTTCAGGGTAACGACATCATTGCTGCTGCTAAACGAATGGCGCTGCTCATGGCGGAGATGTCACGCCTGGTGCGAGGAGGCAGCGGGAACAAGCGTGCCCTCATCCAGTGTGCAAAAGACATCGCTAAGGCATCGGATGAAGTCACTCGGTTGGCCAAAGAGGTGGCCAAGCAATGCACTGATAAACGCATTAGAACAAACCTCTTACAGGTAATGAGTTAACTTGTCAGCGCCTCGAAATACTTGGTTCTTCTCTTACCATCTGTGAGCAGAGGAGGTGCTGCAGTAAAATGCAAGTGTCTTCACTTGCAGCCTGACAGAATGTTACAAGCCATGTGTGTTTTTACATGCCGTAGTGGTGCTTATTTTGTAAAGTCAGATCAGTTTACAGCTGAGTGAAAGATGGTAATGTCTGAGAGCTTCTGAAAAGTACTGTGCGAGGAGCACTGCTCTCCCATTTCTGCATTGCTTTGTATTTCATCTACTCTTTCCTATTGTGTCAAAGAATAGCAGCAGAAATGTAACACTGCATAGTTTTGTTTTTTCCACTCTCAGACACAGATAAATGTCCCTCCGTTCCCAGCTCTGAACACCTAAGGAATACCTAGAGGAAAAGAGAATGTTTTTTCTCCAGAAAAATTCGCAGAGCAATTAAAATGTTCAGTCATCTTACCTGTATTTGTCTGAAAGTCTTGAAAGTTATGGGGACCCCTATGATTATTCCTTGTGGGATAGTAAAGGAAAACCAGAGAATTAATCTAAAGGGAGGAGAAAGTGTTATCAGTTGAATTTACAGTGTGAAATGTTTTTTTATCCTTGTTCTTCAGGTCTGTGAGCGAATCCCAACCATCAGCACACAACTCAAAATTCTTTCCACAGTTAAAGCTACCATGCTGGGCAGGACTAACATCAGCGATGAAGAATCAGAACAGGTAGGAGGTGTAAAAATTGATGGGAGGTGGAACTGCTGAGCAGTGTTATGGGGAAAAAGAAACAACACTAAAGCAGATGTGTGCTGAGAACTCAAGAAGTTTCCCTCAGGGGCTTAGAAAGGAAAACTTAATGCATTGCTTGCTGTTTCAAAAGCTACATTTGAATAAAGGAACAACGTCAGTCCTCTCCGAGCACAACAATTGTTCTGGTTCAAATCTGTGTACAAACGGTGTGTTAATCACCTTTCCTCCCAGAGGCGAGCTAGCAAAAGAACTTTCAGCCGAAGCGACAGCAGGGTTAACGCAGGTGGGGTGGTAGCGCCCCCTAGCGGCTCGTAGTGAAAATGCTTCGGACGTCATGGAGTATTTATTTCACAGTTCTGTTGGCTTTCAATTGCGTATTTTTCAGTTGGAGTCCTGCAGTTTCTGGCTTGAGAGATTATTCGGCTTTGAAAAATTGTGCTTTTATTCAGACTTTCATTGCCTAATGACAAGCAGGAAAGTACTGTTGGGAGTCAACTATCACTCGAGTAGCAGTATAATTTACTTTTCAGCAGTAGACTGCCTTAAAAATGCTGTACTGGGGGAATTACTGTGCACATTGGGTTTCCATCCCACTGTTATGAACATGCTATTTCCTAATAATGTTTGTTTTGTTTTCCAGGCAACTGAGATGTTGGTTCATAATGCCCAGAATCTCATGCAGTCTGTAAAGGAAACTGTGAGAGAAGCTGAAGCAGCATCCATTAAGATAAGAACAGATGCTGGATTCACTCTGCGCTGGGTCAGAAAGACCCCATGGTATCAGTAAACACCAAATAAGCATTGTCTTCTGTAACATATAATGCCTCTTTTTGGAAATGGAAGAGATTTATCAACAGCAGAAGGTGCTGTATACATAAGCTTAAAATTAGCTTATGCTAATGCCCCATTCTAAGGGTATGAGTTATAAGAGAATGCATTTAAAATATCTTTGGAGCTCGTTTGATATCAAACACCTCAAAATTCTTTCCAATAATACGGTTCTTATTCTTTTTTTTTTTTAATCTCTTGAAGATTATATTGAAGTCTGTAATCCCAGAAGCACATTTCATTTATGCACTGCATATTCCAGTAGTTTCCATATGATGTTACAATACATAGACCTCACTTAAAGCTTGTGTTGAGAGGCTGGGACACTAACAGTGTAAGTTGGCAATGATTTAGGGAAATCTTTGGTGTATGAACACTCAACTTTTCAGCAGGCTTTTAATTGGCTCTTCAAATGGTTCAGAAGTGGTTTGGATTTTTAAAAAGGAAAAAAAGGGATGGGAGGGGGCAAGCAGTTGTAAAATGAAGATTAAAATCCCACTGCTGAAATGATATGTATTTTTTAATTTTCTTGTTGACTTTTGCTTGGCGAAAAAGTACTTGAATAAAAACTGGAGCTGTCTGTCACCCTCCTGGCACCCTATAGGTAGCATTTCAGAACTGCTGTGCTGTACCGAGATGCTTCTGGTGAATGTCAGTGGCACGCTGTTGTCAGCTGGAGGCCTTAAATTGTGCAGCTCTCCTTCTTGCTCAATTTAGTGACATACTGAACTGAAAAATCCTGGTTCTTTGAATCTAGCTGTGTCTAGAACCAGAAAACGTCACGGAAACGCTCCTTCCTTTTGGAAAGCAAAGTGAGCACAAGGCATGTGTCGTCATTGTTTTCTCTTCTTTGCATCTCATTGTTCTAGCCACACGAGATGGCAATCAAAAGATCAAGAATAGTACCCTCAGAAGATGTTTTGACTCACTACTCTTGCTTCCAACAGTGCAATAGCATTGCTTAAGCTTTCTGAAGCCCACGTACTACAGAGGTGGGAAGTTCGTCAGGTGGCCCGATGGCTGCCAGCGAGCAGCAGTTCCTAATGCTCAGTGTCCCCAGGTATTTGTACTGGTTTTATCATAGTTGGAGTTAGGCAGTTTGAAAACTTTTTTGAGTCTTAGTAAATTGAACCATGTGCTGTTTAGTCTTCTGTAGACAAAACGCGCTCTGGATAAAATAGGCTTCAAATATTTTTATTCTAACATAATCTAACATGCCTTCCTATATGTAGTTTTTGTCTATTGCTCCCTGGTCTCTTTTGCCATTTGGAATTGCTGTTTTATCATGGGTTGCTGTACTTTTGCAATGAGCACTTGCAAACTTCTGCCCAAATCAGCACGGACCTCCTGAGACACTTCATTTTTATTTGCTGGTAATTGTTGCACAACCATTATTGAAGTGGCCTTGTCAGACTGAGCAGATGTTTCACAGCCTAAAGAGAGAGAGAGAAAATAGTCAGCTGCTCTTTGCTGGTCTGTAACACTCCACATTTGGACTTGCTTCTCCCACCCCTCCACTGCACTGTTATCTAAAAAGGGAAGTTAAACTGATTCTAATGCATCTGCCTCAAACCTGACCTTAGCAAGAGAAAACATGTGTTGGTCTTCAGTTTGCTCCTGGTGTCTGGGTATCATGAAACACGTGGTACTTGGGGTCTTTCCTTGGTATTCTCTTCTGGTGATTACCTGGAACAGGAAGAGGAAGGAAGAGGTGCCAGAGCCTTAACCTGAATGTCTTGCATTTGGTCGGTTTATACCAGATCTTTTATGTAATTGTAATGTAGTAATTTCTATTTAATAGTAAATAACACTGAATAGTTAAGGGTAATTTTAAAGGGATTTTCTAAATAGTCTTCCTGCGTTTCCTCACGCTCCCACCCCTCTCCTCCCATTCAAGCTTCTCTCAGATTTTTTTTTTAGCATCAGTGTTTAGTTGCTTGACTGATATTAATGCAATATTACTAATGCCTTTAATACATAATTGTTTATGCCAAAGATCACTTTCTGTTTATTGAGTAACGTTTGTGGGAGAGTTACAAATCATGGTTGCCTTTGGCGTTCTTCCAGAATGTTTGCTGTAGGTTCTCAAATTGTTTTGTAGAAGTTGAGATCCTCATTCACCTTATGCAATTACTGGGTTGGTTTTTTTGAACACTATTGGTCTTCAGACCTGAAATGCAGCAAAAATTGGAGAAAGACCATGAATGTCACTTAGAAATGTTTTACCACTATAAAATGTTGTTTATAAGCCAAAATGCATTTATGTATAGTCTAATGTTTTCAACCTTATCCTTTGGTTCTGTTAAAACAATAAAAATGCATTTGTACAAACATCAGCCTGTGGGTATTAATGGCAATGGAACAATGCTGATACTGCAGCAACAAAAGGAGCAAACAGGTACAACGGCAGAAACAGTATAGCAAAATAATGCTTTTCTGAGCAGAAAGGTGCAGTTTCTGATTAAAACCAGTTGGTTTTGGTCCTGATTGCCAGTGAAACTGCAGCTGAAAGCACTTAGCAGGTGCTGTGGCCCAGTGGGAGAAAGTGGGGGTTGTTCCAGGAGCCTGATCAGAGGCCACCACTCCCAGTAGTGCCGTCCCCGAGGCTCCCAGCATTGGAAATGGCATTTGCCTGATGCTGTCAATACAGGAAGAGCTGCAGCTCTGGCCAGCACTTCATCCAATCTGACTTCTCCTTGGCAAAAAATTACTTGAGTGCAAAGGCAATTGCATGGAATTATAGTCCTGTTTCTGGCACAAATCTTCTTACCACCTTCTGTGCTTCTGTGTCAAAATTTCTCCCAGAATACAGAGATAATGACTTTCCAGAACCAAAATTTCTTGGCAGTGAGAGACTGAGCGGAGCCCAGCAGTGCCAGAAGGCAGCTATGACTTAGTGACCATAGATTAAAGAACTCTGTTAACGGAGCTCTATCCATGGTTGAAAAAGAATGAGAACCTGTGAGATGCTCACCTTTGGCAGCACTCCCAGAGCTGGACAGCTGCAGAAGGGCAGCGCGAGAGCTGGCACTACATGCTCCTCGGTGACATCCTTCTGTTTCTTAAGCTGCACTGTCCCACAGGTGCTGGTGCAGATGACTTTAGAAGGGAGAGCACGGTCCCTGCTACTTAAAATCCTGTGTTTGGAGAAATGGGTGGAGTCAGCACAAGCAAAAAACATTTTCCTGAGGAACACCATCTTGGGCTCAGGGCCTTCTCCTCCCCTGTCAGTGCTGCTGCTGACAGAGACTTCTGGTGCTGCGCTGTGAAGCGTGGATGAAAGGGCTTTCAGAGACAGGAGTGCTGTGTCCTTGCAGAAGGTAAGCGGTGGGGACAGAGGGAGCTGGTTTTGATTTGTGTTGTGTTGGTATCTCTATCAGTAACAGCGTTCCTTCCGAAAGATCTTGCTACTGTTGCACTGGTAATACAGAGAGCAGCTGCAGTACTGGGCCCTGGGACAAACCAGGTCTGAAGACAAGACTTTTCAGTAACATTAATTTAAGGATACTGGTTAGTGTAACATGGAGCAGAACTGTAGGCCAACCAACCAACTGGCAGATGTTCCACCAATTCAAAAGGCGAAGTTAGAAGGCCAAGTGCCAGGCCAATACAAATACAAGGCTTCCTCCCTTTTCTACAGACCTAGTAGTTTGGGCCCTGTGTATCTGTAGTAATCTACCGTACTTTCAGAAGTGCAAAATACATTTGTGATCTCCTAGTGTTATTGCCAAAGCTTCTAGTAGAGAAGATGCTTTTGTTACCGGCTTACTGTCTATGCTCCAGATGGGTTTCACACTTTTTTGAGACATAAATTATTGAAGGGGAAAAAAATGTGAAATGGATCCACTAAATTCATTTCCATAGCTCCTATTATTCTGAAACAAAACTAGCACATACGTATCAATCTGTAAGCCAAACAAGCAAAGGAAACAGATTTTCCAGTATCACAGTCAAGTGTCAGAATTATGTACTGACCAAATGCATGCTTTGAACTGTTGGCCACAGAATGTCAGTTTTGCATCATCTCTGTTCTGACTGCAGCAGCAGGACTGCAGCATTTCTGTGATTCTCCACTTAAACAAAAAACCCCTCTTCTACCTGCCATGATCACGAATGCTCTCTGAACACCTGATCAAATTCAGCGAAGGCCTGGCAGTTGGTTACCATGGAACTGTACATCAGGAGTCGCACCTGAAAGCATCACGAGCAGCTGACAGTAGTGATCACTTCACAAGAGAAAACGTATTTGCAGCAGAGTTCCCTTTATTTCATAACATTAAAGCACACAACCATTAAATATACTTGACACTTGTATTGTGCTATCTAAAAAGCTACACTCCAATACACACACGGCACGAATCTGGTGGCATCCACTCAAAACAAAGTGGAACATCAAAACCAAAGCAAAGGTCTCACATAAAAAATAGATCTTACTCTCTGCAACTGTATTCTTAAAAAAAATGACGATGGTGAGATAAAATGGAAAGAAAGTGGATTATTGAAGCAGCAACACCTCCCCAATTTAATGCAGAATGTTATTTTTACCAGCTCATCTGCAGATGGCACAAATGAAAGCTGATTAAGGCAAACGCTTCTTAAGAAAGGCGATTTCTTGTAAACAGCAAGGAAAACATTGTGTCTTCATCAGAAGCTCTTTCTTAGGAGTGACATTTGCTCTGTCCCAGGCCCCTATGGGACCCCTGCCCCTTGCGTTTCTGCTCTGTTTCTGAAGGGACTGCATGATGCATTGTGAAATGCCAACTGGCAGCTGGCTGTGAGAAAAGCCCAGCTTTCTCTGCAGGCAGCTACAGCAGCAGAATGTGCCACCACACCACTTCCCCAATGGCCTGTCTGGCCTTCCTAATGTGCTTGGCCTCTGGGCTTTGGTATTTGGCAGTGTAGTGTTTGAGACGTTTTGTGGCTCACCTGTACCAAACAATTCACCAGCACGACAAGTCAGTTAAAAAAAAGTGAAGGTGTATTAGAAAAAAGGTACCTCATTTTAAAGCCATAATAGGAGAAACTAAGCTACGCTTTCATTTTAAGAGCTGCAGTGCACAATTGCTTTGATCCCAAACTAATCAGTATCTATTAATTAATTGGCACCTACTAGCAACATAAGTCACTAAGCAGTCATTTTTAACGTTTAAGGGGAATTTCCTCTTAGAAGTTGACCATCTTCTCATGTCCTGACTTGAAATTTTCCTGCTTTTGTAATGTATTTGACACCTTTAAAAGGCTTGTATTTTTCTCCGTACATGTCCAGGCGATTTACTTTCAGTCCTGGTAAAAGACAGAAATGAAAAAGTATGAAGTTTAAAAGCAAAATACTAGAAATGTTGCTGGTCTGTTAAGCAGTCCTTTCTCTCTGCCTTAAGTTAGGATCCATTAGCAGATGAGTTCTCTTCCTACCGCTTTCACAAGTTCATGCAGTTTGAGACAGCAGCTGGGAACCCTCTTGTTGTCCAGGCAGGGCTCCCCTGAGAGGGTAACAACTGTCTTTTGGACTCAGTGAGCCAATACCTCCTTAGAAGCTACTGAACACAAGTGTACCTTCCAATGCGTGTGCACACTGAACTTTTGTTCCTAATAACGTTAATGAAGCAAAGGACAAATTGTAGAATTGTTTTCACTCTTAATTACAACTTCAGTACTCTCTTAGAATAATTAAGGAACAACAGAAGCTATTTGTTACCTAACAGCTAACAGTTTCAGCGTGGCTCCTACTTTCCCACACATCTCCTGCCTTTGGCATCTGGCCATGCTTTGTTACATTTAAACTAGCGGATGGTGAACTTAAGAGCAGAGCATAGGATACTTTTCTCACCCAAGGGCTAATTCTTATTAACTCCAAGAGTCTGGAAGGCAAAAAAAAAAACGCAGCCTGGTAACCCACCTGGATACTGGTACCAATTCTCACCTGCTGGCTTCAGCCATGCTTCCAACCAACTGCTCTGTGAGGTCCTAATCCTGCACCACTTGCTCACAGAAGCATTCTACAGCTGAGCAACTTGCTTGAAGTGTTGGCAGAATGAGGCAGTGGTTGATTTAACTGTACTTTAGCCTTTACCATATAGATTTTGTTTTGATTTTAGTCACAAATTGTTTTGGAGACAAAAAACTAACCAGCTCCGGAAGGTAAAAGGAGGATGTTATTTATTTGAAATCAATAAAAGTTGTTGGACCACGAGAAGGCTTTAGTGGTGCAAGTCAAGAGCAGCATTCTCAGTCATTGTCCCTTCACTAAAAGGAGAAATTTGCTTTTAACACAAGTCAGCAAAGAAAAATCTACATCCCTATGTGTATTTGAGTCCTGCTTGAGCAAAGCCAACGAATCACTATTTGCTCATCAACACCTCCAGCTAAACAATTCAGTTTCCTACCCCTTATCCTGCTGCTAATTATCCATCAGTTTCCTGTAACACCCATCTACTCACCTGAAATTGCAAGCTGTTGTATCTTAAACTGGATATTTAAACTTGGATTCTCTTCAGGCTTAGGGGCTCCAGACTGCAGGTTCACTATTCCCTTCAGATTTGGCAGCTTTTGAGGGGTAATTTTGCCAACATCCCATGTTAACACCTGTCAGGTAAGAGAGAACAGTAGCAACAGACCTTGTGGATACCACCTATGAAGCCAAGGTGAAGCTTTTAGCTCGCAGGCTGGGTACTGAAGTAGCCTGGTAGAATTACCCCAGCGGCTGGGAGCTGGCATACTGCTGGTTTTGTTTTAAAAGTATCAGGTCTGTTCTTTCTAAAGCAAAATGTTTCTTTGAGAACTTTCATTTACAATTCAAACCAAATGCCAATTGAGATTTTTCAAGGGCAGCAGAAAGCTCAGAGCAGGCTGCTGGAGCCGGCAGAAGGCCTGGAGAGCTGCTTCTAGGGACTAAAAAGCCTCAGGAGCATAAGGAAATTGATGTCTTACCCCAGCTGAGAGGCAAGACAAACAAACTGGTGTTTCAGATCCGTTGTTTTCCTCCCTCTTGTCTTAAAAAAGCAGATCTTTGGGAAGACTTTTTTCTGATCTCTTGCTGCCTGTTTTGCTGACTCCCTGTTTTCAAGTCTACTGCATTTTCTCCAGCTTCTCAAAGTATGTTTTAAAGGGCACAGACTGGAGAATATACCATATCTGAAACCACCAGCAATATATTGTTGTAATAAAGAAAAAGACTAGGAAAACTGAAAGGGAAGCAAAGGAGACTAATACAACCAGAAATCATAACTGGTACATCTCTAAGACTGAAAAAGGGAATTTTAAAGAGAAGATCTGAATTATTAAATATGTTGGAAGGAAAGTTTTTTCTGCCACGTGTGGAACAGCACTGTTTCCAGCACTATGCGTTATGTAGGACTTGCTCTTATGTCTTCTAAGATAAATACACATAAAACCTTAGGACTTACCTTAGTAACTGGATCAAATGTATAGCTGCCTTGTGTAGCAGTGAGGTTCATATTAAGTACTGCTTTTGGCATGTGAACTGTCATGACAACTCCTTCTACTGTTTTCCCCATATTCTGTTTTGGTCCAATGGTAACATCAAATCTTCCCGAAGAACTGTTCTCCTTAAAACTGATCAAATGCTTCACGTACACAGGAATTGCCACCAAGCTGAAAAGAGAAGACAGCAGTTGAATGCATTCTGTTTGCTTCTCTGCCAGGGGAAACAAAGAACTTTCTCATAAATACTTCCTATGTTTCTGCTGGGTATTTAACTTAGAACCAGTTTCTTTCAAAAGTGGGAAGTGATTTCCAGCATTTCAGCATCATTGCTGAAGCCAATTTTATTAGTGGAGAATGGAAAGATGATTTTCTTCTAAATCACTTGTCTTAATCTCTATCCTTCCTTTTTTTTTTTTTTTTTTTTTTTTTTTAGTTATTAGTATTTTTTAAGGAATCTCACTAAGCCAATTCTCACAACAGGTGCCAGTCAAATCAGATTTAGGTTGCAGGTACTTGCAAGTTAGACTTCTTTGATTTTAAAAAAAATATATTAATGAATAGCAGAGACCTCTGTCTATAAACAATCTTATCCATCAAGCATCTAGCAGCAACACTGATTACCAAGACTAGCCCTGAATTAGTCCTGCATATGGTTTATCCCACTGAAGTGACTGCTGAGCTCAGCTGAAACACTGCTTTCTTCTTGCAGGGGGCACAGGGCTCCAGACTAGCCAAAACCTGGGAACGTGCTTTTTGGCAACAGTGTAAATTCCTCTTTTAACAAGGAGAAATCTGCAGCTACTCAGATGGAAAGCAGTAGACAGTGTACCTACAGAATGACCACCCTGAAAGCAAAACGTACTTCTGTGAGCTGACACGGTAGGAGATCAGTCTGAAATTCCCATCTGGAGGAATAAACGACAGCACTCTTTCAGACTCCCAGCGTTTGAATCGAATACACGGATGGAAGCTGACGTCATCCAGCAGCCTGGGGTTCTGTAAGTAGTGGCAGAGGGATGAGCAGAATGTCAGAGAAGAGCAGGGTTTGAAGCACCTCCTGAACTCTACACAGTTCCTGTTCCCTGGACTCGAAGCGGCATTCCTAGCCGCTACTGCAGCAGTTCCCCTGAGTGTGTTCTGGTGCACAAAGGCTATTCTAACTACTGAACAATGCAGCAATTTTTAAGCTATAACGCAAAACTTGGTAAGTAATTTTTCTGTGAAACGGGTGAAGTAGTTGTCATGCTCTTACACTAACTCTGTTCATGAAAGAAAAATATCCCAAGCAATTCAAATTGCCAAATGCAGTACTGAATTTACCATGAAAGAAAGAGAAAGATCTGGCATTCCTGAGAGCTTAATACACGAATCAATAACACCTTGGATTTCTGCAAAGACTGTGGAACCTGTGGGAGAAAAAAAGAAAGACACTGCACTTAACATACCATCAAGGGCCTGACAAATGTGAAGCGCAGCTAGAGGGCACAGGTGGCATTTGCACAACACTCAGGACCATGCCGGCGCAGACAGGGAAGGTCATTCCAGTTACCTGTGGTCAGGGCAGCTTGCTAAATGCATGAACCAGCGCAAACGGCGTGTGCCTGAGCACCAGTGCAAGCTGTTAGGCAGAACTCGTACTGCATGTGCTTGCACTGTGGCGAGCAATGTGCAAATAAGATTTTCAGAATATGCAAACTCCAAATCTTCCTTTCTTCCACCCCTGCCTACAGCAAAGTGACAAGTCGTGTAGACGTGCAGGGAAGCTGATGCACATGAAAACAGTAAATATCTAAGCACAATAAAGCACAGGATGTCATCATCCTTGGCTTTCCTCCTTCACACAAGACAGTACGTGCCTGTCATGATGTTAAATAGATATTATATATGTTAAATATTTAGCCAAAAGAAAACATGAAAATGAAACTACTGAGTACCTTACCCAGAAAAAAACATTCCTTAAATGCTCTAGAAGGACAAAAAGTTATCAGCAGAGCTCTGGACTAGTTAGACCTACAAGCAGAGGTTCTTTTAGAAGGTAAGTAGAAATTATGGCTCATCTTGTCAAGAGGGAGGAGAACCTGGGGGTTAATAACTGAAAAGAAGGGATCCTGTTTCCGATGAAACAATTAACCAAACCACTATCAAACAGGATAACGTCCTTATTCTTGGGGAGCCACCTTGCCTACTTCTTAGTCCTTAGTGAAGGTTAGGAAAAAAGACTCTGCATGGCAAGTCCCTCAGGGATCGCAGCAGAAAAAAGTGGCTATGGCTGCAGCAGTGGAGCCCCAGCAGGAAATTCAAAGAGTCTCGTGGATGCTGATTGGGCTTGGAATATATACAGAAATAAAAACAGAGTCCTGATTATAACTCCTCAGGAAAGGCCCTCGCACCACTCTTAGGAATCCCATTGAGCCAGGAGAGCAACAGAGCCCTTATGGTGCTCTGAGTGTGACTGCCACCCTCTTTTAGTGTCAGAACAGCAGGAATAAGAGCTGCACAACAGGTATTTATGACTATCCAGTACAACAGTGTTTGTCAAAGTGGCATACGGAAACACTTTCCACATATGTTAAAAAAATAGAAAGGAGTATTATTATGCTTCCTTATGTTTTTCCAAGAAAAGCAATTCTGTGCAGGAATTCTGCAACAAGTTTTGACTCAGAGGAAAGCTGATGATTTCTTTTGTCTTGTTCACTTGAGGGCTTATAAGCAATGGGATAGATTATGGGTAAGCACAATGTGAGATAATTTTGCCATCACATTTAAAACTTTTAAGAATTTTTTTTCATTTGTATCTCAAAAGAATCAACATGCAACCAGAAAATATCTAATTATTGAATATTTATTGTAGACGTATGGTGTGCTCTTTAAGCATCTTAGAGCTTATTGCCATAAACTGAAGGATACACCTGGGCATGTTATTCGAACTTGGTTGTATGCTTCTACTTTAGACACAGATCCATGCATAAAAAACACAGATGCAAAAAACCAGCTGCACTGTATTCTCCCTAAAATCAGTGTCTAACTGCAGACACATTCAACAAACAAAAACCAAGGAGTTTGCAAGGCATCTTACCTGATTTGTCTATAATCGCATCAATTTCTTCAATGACATCAAAGTAGGCTTCATTGTTTGTGTATTTTACGCCCGCTCTGCGCCAAGGAATGTTGGACAGCTGTCCGGTGGGAAGGGTGTCACCCACATTACTGCTGCCTTAAGAATGGAAAGGAACTCAACATCAGTGATTAATTACAAGAGGAATGTTGTAACAGCTGCAATCAAGAAACAAAACAGGATTTGACCCCTAGAACTGCAAACTAAACCCCAACCACTGCAATTTCATTTGTTGGGTGACGTGAATGAACTTTAAGGATGTATCCAGCCTTATTACAGCTTTCAGATTTTATACTTTGCACAGCAAAATACAAAGCTCTAGTCAGCTGCATGTTGGAGTAGGAGGAGATGTGGGCCTACATCCCCCAGAGGATTTCATCACTGCAGCTGAAGATATTACAGCACATTTTCCTTGTCTTCCTGCAGTGCTAGCAGGCTGCCTTTGGGACCTATTTCATGGTAAGAGCTCTTACAAAGAAAGACCTGAAAGAAGATTTAAGGAGGGCTCCCACCCCTTGCATTTGTTACACCAAGGTTCTTGCTTTTGGTGCCCTCCTAAGCTAGCCAGCAGTGACGTGACTGCCACGTCTAGGCCTGACCACGCACCACATCAACCCAAACCCTGTCCTGGTCTTTTTGGCTTGACCTGCCCAGTCATCACAGAGCTGCAGTGGGCCGCGTTATCTCCTGCTCACATCTGACCCCGCCTTGTTGGCTCACATTCCTGCCACCTCATCAGGGAGGCCTCTGCCCCTGCCTGCCTTGCTGTTACCCTCAGCTCCCATCTCCTACTGCCGCTCAGTGGGAGAAAAGGGCATCCCGAGCAATTTGGTTATAAAGTAACCAGTACCATCATTTAAAAATCAACGCAAAATAAAAACAGTAAAATATAAACTTAATGAGACTTTATAAAAAACATTAAACCACTTGTGCTGTCTACCCCCAAGCCAGCTGCCCTGAGCACTGCCTTTGTGGCCTTACAGCCCACCTACTGCCTGTTTCCAGCACAACATACAGGCAACCATCTCACGTGTCTCTGGCCCAGGGTGACACTCCACAGCTCACCTCCCCTGCACCCGCTTGCCAGCCCAGCAGATTCCACCAGCTCAGCTGACAGACACGTGGCTCTGTCAGAGTGAGATGTCTGCATTTACAACAGCCTGAAACCAGCACTTAGCTTGATGGATGCTGACGGTGGCAGGGCGAGGCTGAGGACAGGCTATTTGCTTCTCTTCGTGCTGTCTGTCCCCAGGCACCAAAGATTTATTAGATATCTGTTAAACAGCTCTGTAGAGGAATTTCTTATAGTACAAAACCTTCTCCAGTGCCCTTCAGTTATTCAAGGCTTGGGCTAGCTCTGTGCCTCTCCCGGAGCACCTGTTCCCAGTATGTGCTGTCCCAGCTGGGAATGGCTGTTGCCGAGGGACTCCAGCAGCTGGGGCTGGATCAGGCAGTGCCATTCTGGGAATACCAAAGGGGCCATACATAAATGGCACATAAAGAAGGAATTGCTTTTATTCAACCAACCTCTAATAACTGTGGCCTCACCTTCCAGATTCATGCCGATACAAGACTCTGCAGCCATGAGGTGCGATGGGGCTTTGTTTTTAAGCAGTTACCTCTGAAAATTATTTAGTTTCATACCTGTGATGGAGTTGACAACGGAACGCAGAATTGTGGGAGGCTTGATCAGCTCCTTCAGTATGTTGGATTCTGTTGCCAGTGGAAAGCCGTTGTCTAACATTTCTTCCAGCAGCTCGTACACAATGACCACATTGTCCTTAATCGCAGTCTCAGAACATTCGCCGAAGTAATCCTAAACAAACCAGAGATTAAAAGAGGGAGGATTTTTATTCCTGTTAAAATGCTCTGTAATTTTCTTTTTGCTTACTCTCTAGTATCTCAAAGAACTTTAGTGCTTAAACTGACACACTACTTCTATTCTTTGACTGCATCATTAAGGACACGTAGCATCTAGAGCTAACAGTGAAATTATGTAAGCTGGTTTTCTATGTATACATCTCCCAAGGGTTCTTCCACTTGTGAACATGAAACATATTTTTGGTTAGAACACCAATGCAGAATATAGAAGCTATCTTTCAGCAGTGCTCACTCTTCACCAGAGGTTCCTTTATTTACAGCATCTATCAATCAGGCTGCAAGCTGACTCCCAAGTCACATCTCATGGCTCGCACTGACTTCTCCATGACTGCATGATCATTCTAGTTTATTTACGTAACTGGAAAAGTACTCAAAGCTTGCAGAAAAAAAACAAGCTGGAATTTGGGTTTTAGTGCTCATGTGCTGGTATCTGTAAGTCAAATGAATACACAAAATAATCCTCCTTTTCTTTTGTACAAGCACTTAAACTGCAAAGGGAAAAGTCATGGACAAGATGATTTATTGCCTTTCTACAGAAGAAGTTTATACCAGAATTCCTTTGTAATTATTTCAGTTTTAATATTAACGGCGACAGACCTGAAAAGTATCTGCTACTCGGTGCAGAAATTCAATTACGAAGAGCGGTGGCACTTCTGTCTGTATGACAGACACAAAGAAGATTTTATCGCGATAGATGCTGATGAGGTAGTGATGTGGCGTGGAGATGACAGGAGGCACGTTCTCGACATCGACTGCTTTCTCCTGAGCTTCGAAGAAATAATCACACACAGACTGGCTCACAACGCTCTTCCAGTGCTTCTCCAGGAATATATCACCAGAACAGTTTATAAGAAACAGGCTGTGGATCATTTTCTGTTGGAAACATTCAAAGAAGTTAAAATAAGCAAAAGGATGGGACGATTGACACTATATCTTCTCCCACATTCCCTTCCTTATTATGGTTATTGTTTACTAACATGCACTGTGAGTTTAAGGAAAAGATACTGCTTAGCTGCTCTTTTTTTTTTTAAATTACATTTTCTTTATTGAAAGAAAGGCTCTGCCACAAAACAATTAATGGTGCCTTAAGATGCCAAAATACATCACAGTGTAAGCAAGAAGTCAGTACCCTTACTTTCTACTCCCATCGCTATTTGGCATTTGCAATGTATATCTTGAAGAAATGCTGACTCTCCTCAGCCAGCACGGCAACATACCAGGATAACTGTACGATTTTCCACTTTTTCTTGTAGCAGAGGATTTTGCATTACATTTACATGTGTAATTGAGCATTGTGGTATCTTATGGAGAAATCTTATTACCTTGTCAGCTTTCAGCTACTGAACTAGGGAAGTGTTTTTTATTTGCTAGCTGCTCAGTCTTTTGCTGCACTTGGATAAAGGACTGGAGTTCTTCGAACAACACAAAAGCAGATGTTTGCTCCACCTAATAGAAGTGCCTCAGATGTGCTCGATACACATGGAAGAAAAGCTTCTAAAATAGTTTTATAATTGAAAACCAACTCACTCATGAATCAAGGGGAGTATTAGCTGCAGTTACTCAATGTAATTTTTTTCTTGGATCTTTCCAGATTTACAAATAACATACCCCAGCCACTGATCCTTCACTTTATTCACAGGAAAAGCAGCTTATCTTTTTCTGAAAAGCAATTACAGAATCACAGAATCACAGGGTTGGAAGGGACCTCAAGGATCATGAATCTCCAACCCCCCTGCCATAGGCAGGGCCACCAACCTCCACATTTAATACCAGACCAGGCTGTCCAGGGCCCCATCCAGTCTGGCCTTGAACATCTCCAGGGACATTCCCAGTGCATTACTCAACATTCAGTGAGATAGTAAGTGAATTAAGTTGCTGATTCAAATTAAGTGAATTGACTCTTTTCTCCACATCTGCAGAAGAGCCAAACGCTATTGGACTTCAGCTTAGCTGCTCAGCCTTTCCAACAGGCAGCTGCAATGCTTCGGCTGACCTGCAGCACAGCCGTACTCTGACAAAAGCAAGTCTGAGTTTAAAAGTGGGCTTAGAAAACAAACACCTTTTAAGCCAAGCATAGTGTCCTCAAGCTGAAGTTAATCTGGCATTTACATCATGCATAAACTCATTCTGTAGCTGAAGAAGCTGCCAGTGGTTCCTCATTCCTGCTGCCTTTCAAATACTGATATCGGAACATTTGTGGCTTTGCCATGACAGCAGGTCTTTGTGCTCACTGGGACCTTGCCAAATCTCTGCCAATTCCCAACCAAAGCATGCTGTCCTTAGTGATAGGCATGAAAAGACCCATGGTCAATATGTGGACAAAAAGAGCCAATGAAGCCAATGTGGCACGTAAGGGGAAGTTATTTTGGAATTGTTAATGGCCAGTTTGCTCAAGAGTGAGAAAGAAAATAAAGCTACAAATTGACACTATTGCACGTGTAGCGGAAATGCTGAATCATGGCCTGAAGCAGTGATTGAGCACCTGGTGGAAGGCAGGGCCAACCCAGGGGAGCTCAGGTACATGCAATGCTCCTGAGTGACTGGAAGGGGTGGAGCCAGGATTGACCCCTTACAGACCTCATGTAAGGGTTGGCAGTGAAGGTGAGGGGATTTCTCTGGAGGTCTCTGCATACCTGTGGTCTTTTGAAGGTAAGCAGCTTTTTTTCCTTTATTTCTGTGCCCACAGCTGTAGTGTTTGAGCAAGTCCTCACTTGCTGTAGCCTAGCACCTTGCTGCCCTGCTGTTATTGCTGCACTTTCCATCACGTTACAGCATGCTTCTATGATACCCATCCTTGAACCAAATCAATCTCTGAGTTAGTTAAAAAAAAAAATCAGACAATTTTAACATCGCGAGAACAGCATTCTTATTAAGGAACCTCAGTACAGTTGTTCAAATCCAGTTTAACTAAGCATGTTCTGATTTTAGCCAGTGCTGAATGCTAAAACCCTCTAAAATCTCCTGGATGGCCATAGAGCAGCATTGAGTATAATCAACCACTGAATGTCAGTATTGTTCCACACCAAGGCGGCCCAAACATATGATCAGCTGCAAGGCTTAGAATAGTTCTCTGCACATTTTAATGTGGACACCATAGCACTGATGTTAACAGCTCCAGGCCCTAACTCCTAGGCACTGCATACTAAGCTGTTAGAGCAGTTTCAGCACATGCATGTGCCCAGGGCCCACAGCAGAAGAGCTGTGCTGGGTGATGGCTGCTGCACCCGATGCTGACAGTATATCAGAACTGCATTACACAGTGGTTCTAAGCCCCAGCAGTGCTCCTGCTGTACAGCTTCATAGCAATTCTACTGAGCATAAGCTGCTGTATTTGTGACTCTGTTGTTTGAGCTAGCACAGCTGTGCAGCATGCCAACACTGGTTACTTACATACAGCCACGTTGCTCTATGCTGGTCCCGTATCCAGCCTCTGTTAGCAATGCTGGGGCTTTTGCAATGCATTTCACCTACAGCACAACACCATGTCATCATACGCAGTTGAGAGGGGGCCTACACAGCTTGAAGGGGTGGCAGTGCTGGACTTGCCCCTACTTACTCATGCTCATGCACCAACTGTGTTCCTAAGTATGCGTGTCCCTGAGGAGAACGGGAACAGCAAACTGAGCAGTCAAGTCCTACCTAACTGCATTCCCTATCTTCAACCATTTTTGCAGGATTTCCCATGACACACAATTATTTTGCTTCTAGCAGAAGTTCCCTTCATTCCCCTCACATGCTTCTTTCTTCCTTTGCAGGTTTTAGCAGTAGAGCAGCACGTGAATAAGAAAAATAATTCAAAGTGCTCTGGGAAAACGGCAGCTGTATCCTTACAGCTCGTGTCTCCTGCCTGTAGGTCCCAGCAGCCATGGCACGAGGCAGTCCCATCTGCAGTGAGCAGCTCTGTTCAGATGCTTCCTTCTGTCAGTGCTGAGCACAACAAAGCCCTTACAGCAGTGCAGGACCAGAGACATTTCATTTATCCCATGTGCTGTCAAACTGCTGGCACCAGCTGGGTAAAGACAGAGCTGATGCTGGATGTCATAGAAGTGGTGTTACTACAAAAATATCTTATGGGAGCTAATATTTAACAGGAATTACTTACAGTGCTCCCAGTACCAAAGATTTCCTAAACAATCTTTTTTTGTGTGCCAGATTTCATTTAAGATATGCAGACAATGAGGTTTTCTCATTACTTTACTTTCTTCTTCTATCTCACAAGAATTTTAGATTTGCAAAGAGGAAAAGGTGAAAAATGCTGACTGTAAGAAATTCCTCTGGTAACATTAAGATTCTGCACGCCAACAGGTCAGGTAAGTAGCAGCTCAGCAGCAGAGCACATGAAGAGCTGGGACATTCCAAGGGTAAAGATCTTGAATCAAAAAAGCCACCAGTTTAAAAGACAGCAGCCAAAGCACACCACCACCACCTGAGAACCAGGAGAGTGTGTGCAAACGCCATTTTGAGAGGGCAGCACACGAATGCTCTGTGCAAAATACTAAAGATGTCCTTCTAGGAACATTTCAACAGGACACGTCTCCCATCTTTCTGCTTTTAGGCTGACCTAAGAAGCAGTCTGAAGGATTTTGCGGATTATTTGCATCTTCAGCTCAAAGTGAGCCACTCAAGATCATTTTTAATAGGCTCACTGCCTTAGATACTGCTTGACTGCAGGGGATTGTACAGGTACTGCAGCAACAAGCAGCCCAGTGGTTTGTTCTGGTCAACTTCCCACCCTTGTTAGGAGCTCAGACATACAAAATTCCCTGTGGCTCTAGATAGTCATTTCCACTTCCACAGGAACTGAAGTCCTCAAAGAACAGCTAAATATTTTAACTTGGGCATCTTCAAACATGCTATTTCCATCCCTGTATCTTTTGACTAAGTCTGGATTTTGCTATTTCACTTTTTTTTTTCCATCTCTTGGCTGAGAAACATCTGGGCTCACAGGACAAAAGCAGAGCTCACTGGTGAGACTGGCCATGGGAGCAAAGTGACTGCACAAGCGTGTCCTTAGTTACAACTAAATACCCTAAAATGTGACTACTACAAAAATACTGCTGCCAGCTGCTTTTCCCTAACACTTAGCTGAGTTACAGTCAAAGCTCTGAAAGCCAGGAGTGAGGAATTTATCACTGACCTCTGCAATGCCCTTCAAAGCATTCTTCACAGGGCTCCATGTGGGATGTGAGCAGTGTGCTCAGACCCACGCTCCTGCACCTGGCTGGGCTGCTCAGAAGGCCACAGGGTCAGTGGCAGTGGGCTGGCTGAGCATCTGCTGTGGGTTGGTAGAAACAGACTTCTTGTGATAAGCCATTAAAAGCATGGAAAGTAATCAAATGCTCAGAGAAATGTGGAGAAACAAATAAGCTCAGATAGGTGGCTCCATTTCTATTTTGAAGTTCACATTTTTGTCACGACCACCCTGCGCGCAGTTCTGCTAGCTTTTTCCAATACGTTCAGGATGTGCCTTAAGTGGACAACCTTCACAGACTCACTGGCTCTTAAAATGGTAAACTAATGAAGAGAAGTTCTATCAGACACTTCAGTGACATTTCCAAGACAGTCAGGGTGATGGATTTGAACACACAGCTTGCTGGGCTAATCCTGATACAATGTTAGCAGTTGTGAGTCTCAGATATCACCAAAATATGTCATTTGGGGGATTTCTGGAAGGCTCCTATCATCATTAATGTATGTTACTGCTGCTGCAGAAGTTGTCGTTAATCTTTCTTGTTTACAAGATGCCCACAGCTTAAAGCATCCCTACATTAGGGTAAAAATGTATTCACAGCCCTTCTTAGGAACTGCCCAGTCTATCCGTAACAGGCAAAGCTCCCAGAACCAAACCAACTGTAACTAACAGCATCAAGTGCTGATGTCTGCGTAACAACCACTCAGATAAATACTCTATGAGCCAAATCATCCCCATTAAAGACTAAATGCTTCACTTCCCAATTTTTTAGTGTACACATATTTATCTTCACTTTCATTTAAAACATTGTTAGTAACTTTCCAGAACAGTTTGTGAAAGGAAGTGGTCCTCTGAGAATACTCTGAAGCTGTCCTAAATCAGGGTTTGGTATCCATTACAGCCTTTCAACTTCCTCTGTGGTTATACAGATAAAATCACAGCCTACAAAATAATCTGTATAACATTTCATCTGCAGACTGAGCAGCTCTCCCATAAAATATTTGCATGGTGCCTCTGTTTAATTTAGAATAAGTCATGTAAGTGCTGGCAAGATTGCTCCATCTCTTGCCAACAAAACAATTTTAGATGCTGAATAATCAAACAGTGTTCGATATTGCTTAACTGCAGTTCCCTCTGGGATATGCAAGAATGGAAAGTTTCACTGTAAAAGCCAAAATCCAATAGAATTGCTCAAAAAAAATAATAAATAGAAATGAATTATTAGAACTACATTTTTCACATGGAAGTGGAGCATTTCCAATACAATTTACAAGCAAATCGGTGGATTCATGACAACTAATGGGCCATTTAAGAATTCAACTCCCTGAAAGCAGCACTGAATAAAGAGATAGAAAGGACCAAACTGACGAAAAGGAGTTCAGCTCAGATCGACAGATCTTGGGATATTTTCTGCCTTTCTCCCCAGCTCCCCGTAGCTCTGGCAGGAGTGATGGTGCTACAGCTTCCTAGCACTCTTCTCCTAGGCTCGATTTTAAGAGACAACCGATGTTCACTGAAGGACATGCACAGCACTGCGCGCTGCTGGGACACAGAGCCTGCAGGTACTGCTGGAACCTGCTGCAAACAAATGATGGCTCTCGCTAACGCGTGCGCCCTGCCAACCAGTCCAGAGCACAAAGTGCAGAAAGAAGGACATCACCACCTTCTTCGATGAGAAAAAAACAGAGTCACACTCTTTCATTCTGGAAGAACTAAGTCAGCTGAAAAGTAAATAAGGAACTCTACACTGCAGAAAGATTTAACCTGGTTTCCTCTCACTTACCATGTATAACGTACAGCTGCTACTTGTCACTACTGTTCAGATCTTTCTGACTCAAGAACTCCATTTCTCTTTCAGAAATTCCCATGACAAGATTTCTGTTTAAGATCACTCAATGCAGAATTGCTTGCAAGGAGAACTTTGTTTGAAAGAGTAACTGAGAATGAATTGGTATGTAACTGCTTTGCACAATAGGAAACATCATTTCTGGAGAAGGACAGCAAATCAACACTGCAGGATGTGGAGGGGTCTTAATGTTTGATTTGCTGTCTGTGAAGAATTTTCAGTTATGCGACAAGGGCAGGAAAGGCCCTTCTTGTCCCATTTTCTCCCAGAGCTTTTTGTTTGTTTGTCTGCTTTGAGTTAGATGGCCCTCGCAGTATGAGGGCTCAAACCTTATGCATTTACAGGCATACACCACTCAGGCACAGTTTTTGTGCATTTGCTTATTTCTCTTTTGCTTTAACATAAGAAGCCACGTACAATTCGAACCTGCACGCATCGCTCAGCACGACGACAGGACGCTAAGCGCATGGCTGCTTCAAAGTACGTTAGCGCTGAAACAAAACCAAAGAAGCCGCAGCCCGCACCCGGCTGTCAGACACGCGCACAGGGAGATCTGCGGAGCGCTTGCTGATGCAGGCGCTTCCCGAAAGAAGGAACAGAAAGCGGAACGAGTTCCCGCACACGCCGCGCTCCTCCCGCGCTGCACACAGCCCCGCGGGCCGCTCCCTCCGCCCGTGCTGACGCCGCTCAGGCCCTCGCCCGCCCCGCGCCACCGCCCGGCTCCGTGCGGAGCGGGCACAGTGGCTCACCCGGCCGCAAGGAGCCAACGGCCCGGCCCCGCTTCCCTCGAGCACGACCCACGCCGCCCGCCCGCGCCCCGCTGCCGACCCGGCCCGGCCACACGTACCTCCCCCGGCGCGGCGCGTCCCGCTCCCGGGGCAGCGGCCAAGATGGCGGCGAGGCCCGGCGGCGCGCGGGGCCGCCCCCCGGCGGAGGCGCGGGCGGCCGGGTCGCTGCCTGCACCGAGCGGCGAATAACGGGTGCGGCGGCGGCCCGCCCCGGCCTCCACCGCCCCGTTCCCTCCGCGGCTCCGCGGGACCGCCGGCCTCGCGCCGCCCGCCGGCGGCTCCCGGCCTCGAGGGCAGGCGGGGGACGGGAGCCGCTCGCGGGCGCTCGGAGGACGCGGCCAGGAGGGGCGGTGTCGCCCCGGGACGGGGCCGGGCGGAGGCGGCGCGGCGCTGTCCCGTCAGGCGCCCTCGGGGCCGTTCGCTCCCCGCCTCCCGGTGGCGGTGCCGCGCCAAGCGGGGCGGGCCTAGCCGAGCCGAGCCGAGCCGAGCGCGCCGCACGCTGCCCAGCGCGAAGATGGCAGCGGGGGAGCCTCAAGCCAAGAAGCTGAAGCTGGAGCCGAAGCAGCTGAGGTAACGCGCTGTGGCGACGGACTGCGCCTCACGGAGGAGCGCGGAGCGGCGCTGGGCTGCCGCTGGGTTGGAGACACGTGCGGGGCGCCGGGCCTGGCCCGGCACGTGCAGCGGGCTGCGCGCCGTGCCGCGGCTCATCGGGTCCCCTCGCGGCTCTCCGTCGCGCTCCGTTCCCGTGCGGGCGGCTGACGGCGGCGGATCCGCGCGCGGCTCCCACTGGCGGAGGCGGGCCGGGCCGGGTGGTGCGGCTGTTGCCGGGCGCCGAGGTGCGGCGTGAGGAGCACGGGGCCGGGACTGCGGCGCGGCCGCGGCTGTCTCCGCTTGTGCTCCCTCGGACGGGGACTCCGGTTGTCCAGCGGTCCCCGCGCACAGACAGGTATTTGTCGGGACATCGAGATCCTGTGGAAGTATTCCATTTGAGATAATGTGGGACGAGGTTTCGGTGCCGCTTGCTGTGCTTGCTGACTCCCTTTGGGTGACGGCGTGCACGGAGGCGACCCGTTCGGTTTTAATGTCATAGAAGAAATATGAAAGGGTTCTCAGTGAAGGAGTGCGATCAGAGAGCTGCGGCGGGGCTTTGTCGGTGCCATTCCGGGTGCGTTTTCCCGGGATTATCGGGACGCGAATAGAATTGTCTGATACCTGATCCCCTTCCAAGTGCTCAGGTTATGAAGATTAATGACGGGAGGCCCAAAATGCCAACATCACCCCAGCGGTAACTAGTGACCCGCTCAGATATAGCGTAAAGCAATGGGCTCGAGAGCTGAAGCGAGCGTAACCCTTGTCTGTGCAGACACCCGTACCGAGGGAGCTGACCGTACTCACATTGCCCGAGTCAGGGCACTTTTCTGGCGGTAGGGTGGCTTGTCAAGTCTAACAATAGTTAGCAAGCACAGCTGCAAGTAATGGAAAGGGAAAAAGGTAACTGTGCTCTGAAAGTAAATAAATGGCATACAGCAGTGTAAATTGTGAGTAAAGAGCACCAGCCATTTCCATGACCTTAAAGTGAGGAGGGACAAAGAATTGGAACTGAGTATGTTTCTGTTTATAAAGCTTACTGGGGGAAACCGCTCTGTAACAGCTCGATGCCTAAACATAAAAAGCAAAATAAACAAAAAAAACCCTCGTTATTGAGATACTGAATTAGAAGCGGGAAGGATGTTTGCGGTGGCATGGGAGGCCATGGTGGCATGCTCTTGCAACAACCGATAAAACCAAGAATAATAATTTTGTATGCTACACAATGGTTAAAATGTAAAAAATAACATTGTTAAATCTTGCGTACTCTGATTGCGGTGAAGTTTATTTCAACAAAGGCTCCAGTCTTGTGCCGTAGGCAGAAAAATGCCATATACAGCTGATGATGGAACCAAGTCAGCGTGCTGTAGGCCCTGATTGGATGTGTGAGGTGGAGAAGGGCACTGGGCTGGCTCTGGCAGACCTCTGTGCTCCCTTGGATGTGGCTGCGGGATGTGCTGAAGCATGCTGCTGTGGGACCTTGTCCCAGGCTGAGTGGCAGAGATTCCTTGCCTTACTGTGTTTGTTATAAGGATGAGTTGTTCATGCACACGCTGGTATGTGAGCATCACTGAGAATTTTGGAGGATGACGGCTTTCTATTTGTTATGTGAAGAATTAGAAGAGAACTGATTGCTCTTGACATCTATGTTTTACTCTTCAATCTCTTTCAGAAGACCATGCATAATGAACTGTGCAGGGATGGTCTCGCACCCTACTCATTCTACCATACAATATGAACGTGTATCTTTCTACCGCAAAAACTGTTTTAATATCGAGAAATGGCATTAAAAAGTTAAATTTCACTCCGTAATATCACCAGCACCTTGTCAGCAATAATAGACATGTTCCTCCCTTATGTTTTTAATTTGTTATTTTCCGTCCTCAAATGGTACCAGGGAGGTTTCATAGATGAATCTTTTTAGTTCCTTTTCATCCTTTCAGGCAAAGTAGAACAGAAGTGGCTCCCTCAGAGCGTAGGCCAAGCTGACCTGGTTCAGTGGAAATTCTTTGAAGGCAATGGAGGGTTGTTGGCATTGCCACCCAACAAGCAGAACACAAAGCTCGAGGCCCAAAGTGGCATTCCCAGCACAGTAATGCATCGTGCTGACATGACATCGTGCTGGGTGGCAGGTTTTGTATTGTCTTCGTTGACGGTGCAAATCCCCACTAAAACCAACGGGATTTAGGCAAGGCCGTGAATGCCTGTTATGTGTTTCAGACTTCAGACCACATCTCTGCTGTGCAAAGTAAAATATCACTGTGTGTAAACTGTGCCATTTGAACAGAAAGTGCGCTTGCAAAGCTGCAAACAGTTTGTTGTTGAGCAGTGGTATCAACTTACTAGAAACGTCACGAGGGATTAATATAAAGAAGTATTAAACAGGATTTGTGCCCTTTTATATTTGGTTTGGTTGTATCTTGGAGGCCTGTGGAAACTGCAGCCAAGCTTCTGTTAATGTCACGCTCGTGAAAGAATGTGAACGTTCTCTGTAGATTTGTTTGAGCTTTTGTGTGTATTTCTATGTAGAAATGTGCATGTCTGCAGAAGAAAAAATGAACCAGCTTGTGAAACCCTCCAAGGTAATGTGCCCTCTGTTACGTGATGGCCCCTTGGCAGTTCTGCAGCTGCTGTATTGATTGAATAGTTACCATGTAGCTGGCTGTTGGAACAAATCGATCTGCATGAAGACAGCGTAAGCACTGAATTTGACAATTCTGACTGCAAGTACAAAGTACAATATTCCTCTTCTTCTCTTACTACTAGACAGAATTGCTTTTCAGAGTAGATTATCAAACACTCTGTGCTGTTTTCAAAAGCAGTCACTTTGTCACTACCATTCTGCTGGATTTTAGACAGCTTGATACTGGTGACTGTAAAAAATGTTGCTAATTACATGCATTTTTAATTTCCATAATAAGCTAGGTTTTAATTTAACTTGCTCTTTCATTAGCTTTCTAAAAATGAAAGCAGCTTCTGAATATTTTGAATTAGCTGTGACAAAGCTTTCAGTTAAGATTTAGTAAACCATTTTTCTTTCTAATCAGCTCTACCTTTATTTTTTTTTCCACCACGTTTTCCATTGCTGTTCTTTTCAGTTTCTGTCTTTGTTGTTTGTACTTCCCTCACTTTGCAGTTGCCCACATCTGCAAACACAGGTAACTTTCCCTATGTCAGTACTCCTGATAGCCTCTCAGTACAAAGAGAGATATGACTTAACACCTTATTGCATTTGCCCCCAAGATAATAAAATCATAAGACTTCTTTTTTTTCCACATGGATACTTAGTCACCTTTAGAAAGCAAACATTTTTGAAAGATGCTAGCAACATACTTCTCTAATTTTGTCAACTGTCAAAGTTGTGCTGGTAGGAATACACCCAGAAGCGGAATGCCCCGCAGCGGCTGGTGTAACAGTTGAGGCACTTGTTTCCATTGTTTGGATCTATAACTCAAATTGCTAGTTAGATTAATGCCTGTCCTTGTTGATGTAATCATGCAAGATTTATCAAAACAGTGTCACTGGATACAGTTTCTACACTTCTGCATTCTTAATTCTTTCCGTTAAAGAAATTTCACACTTTATTGAGAAAGAGCGAAGCTTGAGGAAGGAGGAGGCTGTGGGAAGGCTACTTGTGCCAGGAACCACCAGCATGGCAGGCGTCTCCTCCCTTCTCAGACGTTACCTGCAGCCCCTCTGACAATACAGCTGTACTGCCCCAATATCCTCCAAAAACATACACCTCTGACTTGGGTATTGTTTTACAGAAGTTAGCAGGACCAGTCTTGTCCTTAAAAGTGCTTACATGCATGTTCACATGTAGGACGGGGGCCAAGGCAAATAAATGTATCTATTTCATAACGAGTTTCTGACTTTGTCTTTTTTTTTTTTTTTTTTAATTTGCAAGTTCTGTTTTTTTCAGCAAATAAAACAGCTTGTGTAGAATTACTCATCTAATCAGATCTACTAATGTTACTTCTAAACAGACACGGAAGAGGTCTGGAAAGGAGACTTGAATGAATAGAGAAGTAATTGAATATAGTGTCAATTGTAATAGAGTAAAATGGACTTTCTGCAGAACAAGACCTTGGCTTCCTCTGTTGTTGCTGAGGTCTATTTGAAGTAGAAATGTTTCAAACACAGCTCTCGCTTGTAGTTCAAGGTTGTGATATTGAATTTGAGTAGTTACTCACACAGGAAAAGTACATGAGTATTTCACAAAGCCAGTTTTGGTAGCAGGGAATGTGTTGCTGTCTAAAGGTCATTAATTAGTATTTGCTGTTAACGTGTTGGGAAATCTTATCTTATTGAAGAAAGCAAATTGAAGATATAATATGCACACTAGGTTTTCTCAAGGATTTTTGTTTTGTTTCTACATAACTCATTCATAAATCATTTCAGTTTGCATCCTAGAGTTATTTATACAATAAATAAACTTTTTGTGTGAGGGGGAGATGTCTGAGTATTTCACAGAATTAAGTGAAGGAAAGGAGATATTTTTTCCTCCATTGTCAACTGTAATTATTT